GTCAGTTCCACGTGACTAAATAAGCGCTCGGGATTAGCCGGGCGTCTATCTCCTACGTTCTAGAATGTTCCCCGGTTAAGGTTCACGTGCTAGGGTTCTCGGTTAGAGTTCGGGTTAGGGTTAAGGTTAGGCTATCATGATCTAAGATCAGTCAAATTCCTTTATAGCGGTTAAGCTAGTACTCACGTTAGGGTTATAGTTAGGGTTCGGGTTATGGTATCTAACAACCTCGGTTAATACCGTCTGTGAGTGACACAGATAACGGAGTACCTACAAGATGTAGTATGAAGCAGACGAGTGCTTATAGATTTTTCTGACGCGCCGTGTTAGGGCCATGGCATTCTTTCTGATGCGTATTTTCCTTGTGTCCCTGAGCGATGAATGCGCTTGCATGCGTGTTGGTAGGCAGAGGTACTCAGGCCTCAACTGTATCCTTATCTCTACGAGGGTGGGCCTAGCCGGCTTGGATCGAATAGAGAGACCGTGACCCGGGAAGACGCGCGTAGAGCACGTATGATGGGGTATGACAGTCCTGGAATACAGGATGCGAAGAGCGGGACATGCCGGCTACTAGCGGAGCTGCGTACGAACAAGGCTCCCAGGATATTAAGGCCGAAGCCACCTAGAGCGGGAGGAAAACCGTTTAACGTCCATAGGACCATGTGTCTGAAATTTCCGGAGAAGAGGACCCTCTGCGGCGTCGTCCAGTTGGTATATTATGCAAAATCGCGAAGTCGATATCGTGTTCCACGGGGTCGAGCATCGTACCAGTAGGGCCAACAGGGGCACGGAATAGAGTACCACGGGGAGGTTCAGGAGCTCCCGGGGGTAGTACAATTAGATCGTCGTCACCATCCGATTCGGGCGATCCCGGAAGCCTTGCGGCCAGCGGGTTCAAGCCGTCATCCGCAATGGATCCAGCGTCGTCATGTAATAACTCTTCCAGCGTCGAAAGAACTTGTTTTTTCCAAAGACCTGTCACGTCGGACAGATTATTAGTGCGTCGTTTAGAGACTAGCACCCTTTTATCAAGGAATTGTGTTTTACGGAGGTCCACAAACTGAACCAGGCCGGGCGCCCCCTCAAAGGAAGGCAAGGCCGGATCCCGTACGTCTGAAACGTACGCGTCGATCGCGGCACCACGGCCCAGTTGCACCTCACGGTGTACTCCGGGTTCGGTAGATCGCTGCCAATAAAATTCGGCATTGAAATCCCAGCGGTCGGCGCGTTCGCACCATTCCCGCCAAAATCCTTGTAGTTCTTTCGCAAATTCGTCTGCGTTAAAGTAATCCCATGCTGTATTGTAATATGACTTCAAGACTAGAACGCCAGCGTTGTTCGCTTCAACTGAGTTGTCACTCAAGCGCTTATTCCAACGTTCCTCTTTCTTGCTCCTCAGCCATTTTGTGACCTCAGACAGCGGGTAGCCTCTCGCGACATACAGATTAACAAGATCATGCATGGATTGCTCGTACACGTCGCGTGTAGAGCTCAGCGTGGCTAAACGTGACATCTCGCCCCAAAACGTACCGCGTTTGACGGTGATTGGGTGTGCGGATATCCACGGGATTCTTTCCTGATGTGAGAGCGCCTTCCGGTACGGCATGTATTGCAAGCAGTTCTTGCTATCTTTATAAAGTAACATGTCTAAGAAAGGTTGATGAGTGGCAGAAGCGCCCCACACAATTTCACAGCCATCGAATTTAATACGATTGGTTAGGTACGTAACCGCCTCAACTTCCGTTTCTGCGTATACGACCGCCATGCAATCATCGATGTAACGTCCGTAGTATGGTACTATCGGATCGTTGATAATATTAGCTATCTCCTCGAAGTATGCACCAAATAGGTTAGCGAGATCTGGGGAATCCGCTACGCCCATGGCCAATCCTTCTTTCTGTTTTCGGAGAATATTACCAAGCTGTGTAATAAGATCAGTGTTGCCAACAATTAGACAATCATTAAAAAAGCGAATTAATTCGTTCGCTTTCTGCATCTGCTTTTTATCGAAGTTAAGGAACGCCCAGTTCTCGTATTTTTTACGTACGATTTCGAGACATTGTTCCAAAGGAACGTTCGGATAGAATGCAGTGACATCACCGGTAACAATGAACCACCGGCGTCGATGATCGACTCTGATCTTGCTCAATTTTATCGCCAAGTCTTTGGTTCCATGAATGATGGTAGGCGCCGCTTTTACGAGCGGTTTGAGGCTTTTTGAAATGTATTTAGCAGCTGGTCCAAATGCTACGCTGTGGCAAGGCAAGATCGGCCGGAACTTAGTGGGCGTCTTGTGGATCTTGGGGATCCCGTAGAATTTTGGAACGTGATGCGGGGCTAGGAATTCGAGTATCTCTCGTCCATCTAGCGATTTCCGACATAAGGTTATTTTAGACCGGAGGAAGTCGGGTGCATTCACTTCAGCAAGTAAACCTTCCGCGCGTAACGAAAGATCTAACATGGCTTGACATTTTTGCTTTAGAAGGTCATCGATATATTGTTTCGTGACAGGGATGTAACTATTCCTATCATTAAGACATTCTAGCGTTTTGGTTACTAACCAGGTTCTCTCTGACACCGCGATGCCAAGATTCTTGTCCGTTCCTGTGATAACATAACCACGGTCGTGTAGGAATCTCCGAACAGCTGCGAAACGTGGAGTAAGAGATTTATGAGGGTGTTCCTCCACGTCAAGATCGTGCGGCATATGGGAGATGGTCGTAGACACAAAATTCCCGGCACGCGCAATGCCCTGTTCTATATAATGCGGTAAACTAGGTGGTTCGTGCCTTTCTTTGGGCTCGTTCACTTCGTAGTCTGGGTCGTAACATTGATTGTTGCCATTCAGTTCATGCCACATTCGCCAACGAAGGCGATACTTAAAGTCCGTCCATGCTTGAGTAATCAATTCTGAACGCTGTGGTTGGTGATAAAGATAATTCATACCGACGCTTAACTGAGTAGCGATGCTCGTTGGAAGATTCACACCAGGACTAACATGAACAATATTTTGATAAGCGAGGCTATCTAATACATGCAGAGGAGTATAGAACAAAATAAGTCCGATCGCGTCCTGGATAGGGATTTTTAGACAAAAATCCGGTAATGTCGAAGGCCTATTAAACTTAAAACTCACCATTTGACCTTCAAGGGGGTGCAGGTGGGTTACTTCGACGCGGGCTGCTTGCCCGCCTTCCTGCCTCCGTTGCCGCCGGAGGGCTTGTTGGCCTTGGGTTTCTTGGCCTTCGTCGCCGAGTACTTGGCCCTCGCTGCACGTGCGGGAGGGGGGATCGTCGGGGTGGCTGTCGACGTACTCGGCGTCGAAGAAGTTTTCTTCTGACGCTTGCTCCTTGCCTTCTATGAAGGTAGGGTCAGTATAATAGGACACAGAAAGATCGCGAATGCGACTAACCTTGGCTTTCGCCCCGCCCTGCAACTCCTTCTTCAGCTTATCTAACTTCTTGTCCATGGTCGACTGCGTGACGACGTTGGACGAAGAACCTGGGGCACCAGAGGTGCCGCCGTTGCTGGCTTTCTCCTTGGCGGCCTGGACGACCGCGCGTTTCTTCTCGACGACAGCTTGCGACTGCGACTGTAATGCCTCCTGGATCAGGATGATACGATGGGCGTAGAAGATGACGTCCCTGAGCATCTCGAGGTAGATGTCATGGACGACAGGAGGGACCTCCCACCGGATGGTGTCAACTTGCATGGAGCCCTCAGTTGAGGACTCGACGGGCAGCTTCATCGTGGTTTTAAGCACGGCGTAGCGGTCGACAATGTAGCCTTTGAGCCCCCTGTCCGACGCACTCATAGAGTTAGGGTTAGGGTTAGGGTTAGGGTTAGGGTTAGGGTTAGGGTTAGGGTTAGGGTTAGGGTTAGGGTTAGGGTTAGGGTTAGGGTTAGGGTTAGGGTTAGGGTTAGGGTTAGGGTTAGGGTTAGGGTTAGGGTTAGGGTTAGGGTTAGGGTTAGGGTTAGGGTT